GCATCAGCCATGAAACGAGGACCGGTAAAGGCAGTAGCACTGTGAGAAGCGCATCATCAGGGACCATGTTTATGAAGGCTAAGGGCACCCATGACAGCCCCCCTCCCTGCCCCAATAACAGCACCGAAATACCCAGACATGGCACACTCTGCTTACAGAGAGAGGAGACACAACTACTAGTGCCTGCTCGGAGTGCCAAGTCCCAGTTTTCTCCCATAACCATCACAGATGTCACCCGGGTGGCAGCAGCATCTTCAGTGGCGCCGGGGATCACAGCCATAAACATTAAGCGAGCATTAATGACACTATTTCTTGGGTCTCACATAAAACAGAAAAGAATGCAGTATTAATGAAAGTTAATACAAAAAGATATGACTTCCTCAGTCAATAATGCATACATTTGATTTATTTGGTTTCACTGACAGATACCATATTTATTCAGGCATCGTTGAGGATTATGAACTGACTCTTGTCAATGCAAAACACAAATGTTGGGACAGAGCACAACTAGATGCCCTCAGAACGAATGCATTGCATTCCCTGGAAAGCCCCACCATCCCCTCCCTCCATCTAATCCCTATTCCTTCTACACCAGCAAACCTCTACAATCTCTAGCTGTAGTGGAAATTCAAACAAAAGTTGCCACGTGAGGTTGATGGAAAAGATTCCTGACACACAATCCAGATAAAGCACATACGGAGAGTAAATGAAATTAAAGGGCGGTTTATTCCATTAAAACAATCCGGTTGACTTTCAGGTTGTGAACAAAGGATGAAAGAAACAAAATAAAGCAGCAAAATAAGTATTCCACAGAGTAATATTTCCTTTCGTTTGCGGTTAAGAAATTGTTTCCGCTTCACCATCTAACCTTCCCAGTGTTCTGTGTATCAACCAATTAAAGCCCTGTGTTCGCGTCACATGAGCATCAGGAGGTATGTCTACATACCACATGACCGGTAAGTAATCGGTCACATGACAAGTTTACCACGATCACAAATAAGGCTCCTGCACTAGCCCCCCTACACTCTCCCCACCTCTCCAAAAAATCTTTATTAAAAGTCCAACTTCGTGTAACTTGTCTCTATGTAATCAGATAATGTACTTTTAAAAAACAAATTCCATCAAGGTATGAGTCAAGGTATGAGTTGTTAGCGCAATTTCTCATTATACCTGTAACATAATCCCTAACTATAAGTAAAACAATTTGATCACCATAATCAGAAAAACTCAAAATTAGCCGTCATATTTGACAATTTTTCGCACAAGAATTTTACAATATCGTGGTAAATATCGATATTGTGAAAATGTCTGTAAATATCATATAATTTCTGCCGCATATTTCCCAGCCCTAATGCTGATCATCATTTCTTTGGCTCTGTGGAAAACAATGGATCGGTAGATTAATTATGGTTCAAAAACATGTCACTCTAAAACAGGGGTCTCCAACTCCGGTCCTGGAGAGCTACTATCCAGTAGGTTTTCTATCCTACTTGGCTTCTGATGAGCCACACCAGGCCCTGGTATTTACCTGAGAACAGGTGTGGCTCATCAGAAGCCAGGTAGGATTGAAAACCAACTGGATAGTAGCTCTCCAGGACCGGAGTTGAAGACCCCTGCTCTAAAATCTCTAAGGTAGTGGTCCACAAACTTTATATCGTGTAGCACCTCAGTAAGTATTACGGTCTCTGCATACGACATTGTGCCTGATCGATACTGGGTAAGAGATTCCGTCATTTTTACTGCACAAGGTTTATCATTCATCCTAGCATCTGCTGAAGTGTTGTTGCTGGTGGCAATTTCGTCACACTCTTATGTTTAATTTTCAGATGTTTAATTAAATTGTTATTGTCCCTATACAAAATGGAGCACAATTTGCAGTCCGTTATGCTTTGGATTTCACTGTTAACTTTGAAGTATTTCCATACGGCAGATATTCTGTCCCGTTTACTGTGCTCATTAATGATATCGCTAATACATTCCATGGTATCGTGAGAGGCATTGGCTCATTGTCACGAGAACATAAGCACAGTATCAGAACCAATACTGATTAAACTAGCAGTATCGATGGATCCCTAGTTAAGAAGATCAAGTGTTTTCTGCAGCTGCCCTTTCCTTCCATTGCTGCCCCCTAGAGCTGCTGCATCAATTTTGGTGCGATATGTCTCTAAATGATATCAGGTGTAGTTCTCCATCCATAAAGACTTTGTTTTACTTCATTTTACCTTTTTTCCGAGAAAGGTCTGGCTGTAGTAAGTGAACTCTCTGGCACTTGCACTGCTTCTGATGTTACATGCACGCACTGGCACAATGGGAAATGGAATCACTTCCTGATTGCGATATGAAATGGTATTCTTAATAATTTCTACCTTTAACTAGGGATGTCCATTTTGGATTTTTTTCATCAACTATTGTCGACATTAAGTGTGTGATAAGAAACAGAAAAAATACTATTTAGAATAGAGCTGCAACAAACGACTTTTCACAGTCGAATTCATCATCGATTATTGACACAAATAATCTATTAGTCGGATGAATCGCCCAATTACCAAATAACTCGTATTTGGTATCAGCTATCAGTTTTAAATTTAGCTTGAGGTTGTTTCATGCGTTGGATAACAATCAAGATAATGCTGAATATTTTATTGAAAAAGGTACTCTCAATGAACATTACTGTTAATATAAAACGTAAAAAATCCAATATCCATTTGTCCTGTTTAAATTTAAAACGAAGGATAAACAATGCAGTAGCAATTAAATATACCAAAACTACATCAGTTTTCCCTAAATCAAGCAAACCAAACAATCCATCTAAATTTAAATTTTAACAGTAAGGATAGAAATGTGCATTCTGTGCATTGTGCATTCTGCTGTCTGTCTACACTCTGCTGTAACTAAATTTTCCATTCACATTTCTGTATTGAAAAGGAGGAAAGTCAGCATGAGAAGCTGTTTAGGGCAAAATTACTGAAATACATGCACATACATACGCTGGATCGGTCCACACCTCTGAACCTTACACGCTCACCATTTGCACTTTTTATTAGCTTATACTGTACACATGACATCAGTATAACAGTACACTATAAGCCAATACTAAGTAGATCTCTCTCTTTCGTGCGTTGTCTCCCTCTTAAGTAGTTCCAGATCTTCATCCAAACAATGTGTCTCTAAAGTTTGAAAAAGATATGTGAAATACTTTTTGAGTTATGCTAATAAAAGAAGTATGTGTGGTGGTGGCAGAATAGTGCGAAACCAATATGCATTCACCACACATAGAATACAATGAGTCCTCCTACTGTGCAGCACATACAAGGTGTCAGTGGAGAGGTAATGATAGAGAGTCCGAGTCAGAAAAATGAGCTGGGATGGCTTGGTGAGGCCTCACACACCGAAACTATGGGCTCACACTGCCCAGGGAGGAGGTGTCACCTGGTATGGAACGAGAGATGCTTGATGCAGCTTCCCTGCCACAACTTCTGACGTCACAACATTGCCAAGATCAGCCAGTCCTGGTGACAAATCCCTCAGCTAACACCAGTCTCAGCAGGTCATATCCCTGTTATCACCTTGGCATTAACAGAGGATCCAGGAAGCATTTAACAACAAAATGAATAAGAAACGTGCTTCAAAAACACAAGATCCCCACCGCTGCAGAAAATCCTGTAATCTGCAGAGTTGATCCCAATGTCCTTTGAGAATGAACACGTGACCAAAAATGTGTACTGAGGCTGAAAGGGTTCACTCAAGGACACGCAAATGTCTCATGTGGACTGTAACCAACAATCCTCAGAGGCTGCTTTCATTAAATGAGGAAAAAAAAAATTAAACTAGGTTCAGCTCAGCACCCTACCCCGAAATTCACACAGGTAAATGCAGTGTGTATGCACAGAACTGATGTTTATACAATAAAAGTTAAATGGTGGTGGTAGAATGAATGGACTTAAAGCGGATGGAGAAGTGACTGTCTGCTTATTAGTGTTGGGGTTGTTTTCTTCCACACACACATTTTGTGAATCAGAAGCCTGCAAAGATGACAGTTTACATGATCTTCACTGCGAGCCTCACTAATTGTCGACAGAAAGACAAACTCTTCTAAATGTGCAAATGGAGAGTTTGGAGATGGAAACGGCATGAATTATTCACATGATGGCTCCTCTCAGAGCTGAAGATCCATAATGAGCACAACACCACTCAGGCACACAGGAAACAGAATAAAACTAACAGGACGGGGGGCGATTATGTCATTGGCCACTAATGAACACATCCAACCAAATTCTGACATAAATAGAAGTGCATCAAACTGCCTAGCTGGGAGTGGTGTGATCTGGCTGGGATGAATACAGTCCATTGGATCATTAAATAACCTCCAGTGCCCTGCAGAGAAGATGGTGTGTGGAATGGTCAGACCTCAGGGTCTGCTCCCCTTTGCTAACAACTCAAGAACACAAAAAACTGCTACTTTTCACTTTCCTATCCATATATATAACACTTTTATTCTAAAAAAACTCCTTCAATTTACCTGTTTTCCAGGTCTACCACAGTTGAATACCAGACAAAACAAACATAAGCAAACCCCATTTGTTCCAAAATATTATATCCCGGAAACCATTGGCTTCCATTTTAATTGCGGAACGTTACAATGTGTCAGACCAAATTGCTGATTGTCTGACACAAACCAGCCTTTAAAAAATGACTTTAGCCCAGTAGGGCTCGTTTGTTAAAGGAAAGACTTCTGAAATGTTTAGAAGAATCCCTTGGGAGAAGACACATTCATGCATATTCATGCAGGCATTTAAGCAGTGCTATCAGGTTGCCTAGGGGGGAGGGGGCATTACCCACGGTTCGGAGCACTAATGGTGCCTCGAGGGGCGGTGCTTCCATTTGCTGCTCTACCCCACCACCAACCTTGACTGCAGGAGGCTAAACAGCAACCCCATGCCCCACCCACGTCACCAACAGATGAGGCTCCAGACAGTCACCTTCCCACAGAGTGTCCTTACCATGCCAGCCCATGGAGTAGGGGAAGGAGACCTCGAACAGGTTGTCATATTTTGTCAGCAGCATTTTCATTATGGACGCCAAAGCTGTAAAGGAGGAAGAGAAAGAACAGGCAGTGGTTCAGAATCGCAAAGCAGACCCGCATTTAGCAAAACACTGAGCATTGTTTATCCAGTCAGGTGTCATTATCGCTGAAGGCACACTGTTGCCTGCTCGCTCCGTCAGCAAGCCATTTCTGCTCTGTGGCCGGTCTGGGGAAAAAAACATGACATCAATTTAACTTATCTTCTGCTCTGCCACACACGCCTACACACAGATAAACACATACCCACACACCCGCTCCAGGAATTAAATAACTTCCATCACTAAAAAGACAAGCAACGTAATTTTGAAAATCCACTGTCTGGCAGCACTGAGGGTAAATAAAGTTTGTCCTTCATAGGTAAAACCTTATTTATACATTGTTTAAAAATCCCCAGCAAGGGCATCAACTGCACAGGCAATTTAAATACAATGAAAAGAATCAGTTTGTCCTATTAAAACCAAGAATAGCGTAGACCACACAAGGCATTTTTATATCTTTTCAGTTTTCTGTCCTGCACTAAAGGATGACAAGACTTTTTCTTTGTTTCATGGGTGCAAACTCACAGAATAACCAATTGTGATAATAGCCTCCGAGGCCCAAATATAAATGGTATTCGTCCACTTCTTACGACAGACATGACAAAGAAAGTGTTTTTCCACAGGTGAAAGGGTGTTCTTTGCTTTCAATCGATCCCATCATCAGCGGCACTGGACTCGAGCACGCTGCTGTATGGCGAAGGCCATGGGTTTGGTGGCTTAAGCTCCCTTTGTCAGTAACATAGGCGCATGCTAAGCTACAGCAGGCCCATGTGACCTGGCTACACAAACATCCATTGCCAGCTCAACAACAGGGGCCATTTAATTAGTTTGCTGATCTACATCATACAGAGAAGCCAGACACAATTTCCCAGGGAAATCAGGTGTGTCGTGTGTGCTATATATGCACATACATAATTTGCACTGTTTTTGCCGATTTGCTTACCCAGGACAGCGTTGCAATCCGATGGTGAAGAGCAGCAAGCAAGCTCTGCAGCCAGGAGTCTGAGAGCAGAGCTGCACCATTGCGAGTCACAAGTGTCCTCCAGAATAAATTAGCGAAGTTGTTTCAGTTATTTTCAGACATACTGAATCTTGTCTCTTACAAAACTCCCAGGAAGTTACATACTGCAATACCCATTCCTGTTTTGAACAAGCACATCCATTTAGAATCCTGGTGATCAAAGTCTAGTTGGACCGGGCGGCATCCATATGGCACTCAAGCACACTCACTCATATACTCGGACCTCTTTCTTTATCATGACTTCCTTTTTACTCTTTAAAGCGATTACTAATTCCAGACCCAATTCCAACAAGTCACATGAAAACTGTCACATACAAGACCTCTAGGTACTTTTCAACATTTCAACTTGCGGAGTATGAAAGCATTCCATGAAAACTGCAAACTATTAACAATTAACAGTACACACAGCTATACCAGATTTTACACAAATTAGGCTGATTCCTGTAAAACTTATCCAAGACTTGTATAACATTATTTAAACCATGTCATATTATCGAGACCTATACAGCTGGTTTACATAAAGCTGGAAGGAAATACATAATGCTTTTGAAGTACAAACAGCTGTTTGTTTTTTGTAAGCAGCTTAAGCTAAGTCTCACTTGCCGAAAATGTAAATCAAATAACCCAAACAATAAAATTAGCCAGACAGCAGACAGCTTTTTTTTTTGTACAATAAACACATTATCAACAACCACAACATTAATTCCAGCAGCTGCTGACCCTTCCTGACGGCACCATGAGCACTGAATGAACCACGATACCAGTAAAATCTGTTTTATTTCCGGGGCATATTAGGAGCACGAGTAAAGAAAATTAGAGACATCAAGAATAAACCTTACAAATAGAATAAAAAAATATTGTGGCTGGGTAAAAAGGTCCTGGCTAATGCAGCTCATGTAGACATATGTTCTTGATGGGCTGGGTCCAGCCCTCCTGAGCATGACCAATCAGAATAGTGCTCTGACAAGAACTATAAGAGCCCCTCTGAGCTGTACAAATCAGAGAAGCTCTTCTGAGTGCGGCGTGCAGCGGAGCGACCCTTCAAGCACCTACTCGGAGTCAGTGTCCTCGAACTGCCCTCAAACTTGAGCCCTGTGACGCTTTAAAGGTCTCGCAGCACCTTGCGGCGCAGTGCAGAGCCGCAGCAGGGATGCAGCACAGAGACGCGGCAGACAGACGCTGACCCGACAGCACCTAACTGCAGCCAAGTAGGCACTATGGGGTCTTGCGGCAAATTGGCCTGCAGTGTGGCTTTAATTACTTTCCTCTGACAGAGTGGGTAGGAGGGGGCTGGGGAGTGGAGCCCGCCTGACACCATCCCGATAGCAGCAGCTTCCCGACGGCCACATCCGTCATTTCTCTGACATTTATTTACATTCTGGATTAAGCCTGTCAGGGCTGAGGCACTGACAGCCAACCCATTGAGAACTCACGCCTCCATGACAGGAATAGTTATCAACTGGCGCAGATGCCTGTCACCAGTCCCTCCATCTGGTGTCACCGGCAGGGCCTCAGTAAACAGATACGGCAGGGGGGGGGGGGGGCTAGGGGGGGGACTTTTCTTTATGCAGAGAGGGAAATGCAAAAGAAGTCAAGAGAAAGCACTGAGAAGCAAGAATTACATATTTGTGCCCTGTTTCTACAGCTGTTGGTGAACTTACTGTGCTAAGAGAAGACTAAAATTCAAAAGATCGGGGGCCTACCAGGCTGAGTGGCTAATTTAGTTAGAGAATAAACATTACCTAGAATAAGCAGTATGTGCCAGATCCTTCAACAGCCACCCCCGTTCTTAGGATCAATACACACATTTTAATCAAATACACAAACACCATCGCAAATATTAAAAACAGATAACATACCCAAACAGCAACAACTCTTACAATGTGGCTTCACCTACTTTTTATGTAGTTGCTAAAAGCCAAGTACCAACCACAGAGTCCGCAAGTTATCACAGGAACCTTATTTATGCCACTAGGTGCCTACAAAAGGAGATGGGAAACCATTGGCACTGGCTATAAATATCCAGAGGCTGGATTACAGATAAAGCTCAGGGAGAGGAAGAGTATTGGGTCACATTGACCGTCAATCCACCATCGGTCGGCAGCAAATTAAAAAGTTGTTGACCTTAAGTGGATTTAGTGGGGTTTTTTGAAGCCATGACAAGTTATTTGGGCTAAAACATGGAAGACCGAAGTGGAACATACGTAATAGATCAGCTGTAGTAACTGCAGTGTTGGTTGTGCTTTTCATGCCAGATTATTTTTCAGCACAACTTGCTTCCTCTGCATATTCAGTATGGAATGAGGTGTGACACGGCCTTACCCTCTCGCTCCTGGGCGGTGAGGTCCGACAGGCGTAGAACATGGCGACGGGGCAGCAGCATTGTCTGGAAGGGCCAGGAAGCCCAGTAAGGCACCACCACCAGCCAGTGCTCGTTTTCCACCACCACTCGTTCCTGGGGAGGGATCAGAAACACAAATGACAAGGACACTGATGCCAGTCACACACCTTGAAATAGACTTCACATAGAGAGGCAATTTAGACGAAGGGCCCTCAGCCGTAAGCACTGCCTATAACCATTCAAGCAAGCAATAAATAAACAAAGAGCCGCATGATTTAAAAACAGAAGGGCCCAGAGCAGGGTGAGATTCTGGATAGTGAAAGGCGAATATCAGAATGAGTCCACTCATGGCAGGGTCAATGGCAGCTGTAACTGGATCTCAAGGATCTGGCTGAGGAGCAGACTGATGGCAAATGTTGGGTTTGTAGGGTGGGGTGGGGGAGCAATGATGGATTACACTGTGCGTTGGGTTGACAGGTGCCAACAACAGCAAGTGCAATAGAGAAGAGAAGCAAACCGGCACATCTAACATCTGTGTAGCACTGAGTGTGCAAATGGGACAGTCTGTCTCTCTCTCTCTCTCTCTCTCTCTCTCACACACACACACACACACACACACACACACACACACACACACACACACACAAACACACAAACACACAAACACACAAACACACAAACACACAAACACACAAAAAAATCAAGGTCCCTGAAGTGGCTTTCATTTAATTTCCAATGCTTTCTTTTGTCAGGGTAAAACATCTCTACCATTCAGTGACATATTTACATGATAAAATGCTTGTTTAGACATAGACACCCACAGTTTAGTGTATTCTTATAGTCACATGGTTTTCCTTTGTTGCAAGACAAAACCCTGCTATAATGCAAAAACATTACTTTCTTCTTTTCAATCACCCAATATATGACCAGAAACCTAAGAAACTGTTAAATGCTGTTCCAGACAGCTGCCTGAGTAAGCTATCACAGAAATCACTGTCCCTCATATGAAGTGCGGGCGCTCAGCATAGCTGTTTACACAGCTTTTCCCATCGATAACATCGGCTAACTTCTCGGCAGTCACATCCAAGCCGCGGTAATGGCCCGGCAAACATCTGTTTTGATTATGGACGTTTCTGAAAACACTGCCTGCCTGCTTACTCTCCACACCTGGGGTCTCTGCCCTTTGACTTGAGTGCCCGAAAATGTTGCCATGGTGAGGGGTGACGCTGTCCTCTGCTGTCTGAAAGAAACTAACAATCACAGCTTCTGTGACCTGCTGATGCTGCTCAGATTAGTTTGCAAAAATTACATCTGTAAAATGCAATTATTCAAGTTATTACATTTACAATTAAGTATGCATGCCAGAGCACCAAAGTGTTTTTTTTGTGAGGAGTAACATCAGTTACCAGAAAAACTGCACTTTGCCACCTGCATTTTGCAAGATGGCTTTTGTAATATTGCTTGTCCAGTACGTGATGGGCGTTAATTGTGCATCAGGTACTTTAAAATTTTTCAAAAAGAAATTAAAAGCCGGGAAAAACACTGGTTTGAATCTAATCAACTGCCTGGAAACTATCCCAGATGTTAGACGTGGCAGCACAGTACACAAAATCAGAGGAGCTACCAGGACAGGATGCTAGTCCAACATAAGGAACTTTCCATAACAAGCAACGTCCTGATGCAGTTACTGGATGGCATTAAATATCTGTTGGTCTGACAGAAAATAAGTGCTAAAGAGCACCCAAGTGGGGGTACGGCCCTTATAACTCTAAAGGAAAAGGCATGATATTGAACTGTGGGAAGAAATGAAACCTAGCATGGCAGGAAAACGCAAAATGCACACAAACAGAGCAGAAGCAGGGTTCTCACCCCAACCCAACTGTCCGGACAAAACAAAATTAGATGCATTTTGATGAGTATATTTATATGTTTAAAATAATTGAAAATCTGTCATTTTCACATTACACCAAAGTTAAAGTTTGACAACAAAAGGTTATTGGACCCTCTAAGGGCTTTAATGGAAAGTGATTCCTTATCTCGACCTACATGAATTAAATGGCGCTGTACACATGTATGAAGGCTCGGTGTTCACCTTCCTAAATAGCATTTTGTCTACCACGCTTGAGAGAGTCAGATCCAAAAGCAAACCACCATGCTCTGTGGGTGGGTCAGACAGCTTAACCTTCTGGTAAGGAAGGGGAAACTAGAGTGGTATCAAGATAGTAGACCATGCAGATGAGGGCTGGGATAACAAACATACCTCTCTAGTGAGACAAGACCAGCTCCTACAAAGAGCTCATTTAATTTTAACTTCTCCCATCTCACAAGCTTGCACATGCCCCATAAGATCTATCGACCTATCGAGTGACCTAGTTTGGGCCTTCAAAGTAGTGAAAGTCTTGCCTGTGGAAGATTTTCACAAAGAGAATCCTGTGTATGGCTTATATATTGTTTTGGCAAACTAATTGTTTTCAAACAAGAGCATGACATAACTTCACTTACAAATCCTACTACATTTACATCTCATCACCTACTCTGAGCCTTTGGAGGCCGTAGACCTTCATAGCACCCGCAAAATGCAAACCTAGGAGCAAACAGCACACTGCTGTAAGAACTCTTAGTATCGAGTGCAACTGCACTAATTCACCTCACTGGAAAACAATCACCTGACACCTCTGAAGATGTGATATGCATGGGCTGACACAGCAGATTGTGCAAGTAAGGACACCTTTCCACTGCACCAAAGTGCAGCACTTTCCCTTTTCCACTGACTTCCCGTCAAGTACCACTAACAAAAGTTCCAGTACCTAAAGTGCCTAAAGTACTTTTCAATTATTTCGGTACTTTGGGTTGGCGCTTGAAATGCTTTCTTTATCAATTGGTTATGCAAATTGCCTGCCTCGGCGGGGCTCCAGACTAACTTTTTGAATTGATTACACTGGTGCGCCTAACTTTTTCAGTCAGGTGCACCGGCACATAATTTAGGTACACCCAAATTTTTCACAGCGTCTTTAGTGGCACAATAATACATCTTAAGGGTTACCTTTTTCTCTTTTCCCATACACTTTGATAGTTAAGTAAATGATTGTAAGCAGGAATAAAGGTAGCATCAGACCAACACAACAGATGAAAACCACAATTCAGATACTGATACAGTGATACAGTGTAAAATGTTTGCAGGGGAGAAGGAACAAGCAAAGTACATCTAAAAAGCTTTATCCAGTGCACAAAAACTACAAAGGAATGTTGTGTTCTTAGCACTTTCGGACAACTATTGGTGCTTTGCTACTAGCATACAGGAATGAAGCCATACTCAATTGTACTGCAAAGAGACTAGTTACAGCACAGTTCCAGCTCACTTCGGTTTTCCATTGCAGAAGAGTCGCTCTGTAAAGCCGTTGCTGGGTTTGGAGTGCTACAGTGATGTAAAACTGAAGAGATGCTTATTTACCGTTTACGTGGCGTACATCATGATTTATTACGTGCTAATTACCGCTAACAAGTGTGTGAGAATTGTCATTTTGTGTTAGCATCAAATGCTTGCAAAATTATGCTGTATTCCAACTGAACTCGTAAATTCCGAGAAATTTCAACTGAAACACCCCCTCAAGTTGGATTTCCGACTAGTAAACTCTGAGGAATCGACAACTCAGAGTTCAGAATTCAAGATGGCTGCGCCCTTTATCAACAGAAGTTAAAGCTGTAGTTTTATGTGTATTAGCACTGATGCCTTATTTGTGGCTCATTAAATGCACCGTACACGCAGTACTGCCCAACCGCTATCTGTGGACTTCTTGCTACAGTGTGTTAATGTACAAAATACCACATAATGTGCTGTTATCCACTGATGTTGCTAACAATTAACCAGGCTAGAACTGGGGCCTGTTTCATCAAGCAGGATTTCTTGCTTAAGTGGAGAACTTTTTGTATTTAAGGTAGTCTGGCCTAAATTTAAGTGAACAAAGATAAAGGCCATTTAAACTGGGGTAAATTAAATCACACACCTTATGCGGGTAAGAAATCTTGCTTTTTGAAATGGGTCCCTAGTACTGCTAAATTGCTTTTAGACTTGCTGTACTGAAATGCTGTTAACTCATGTGTGACATCATTCCCATTTTCAAGTTCTGACCTCCAAGGTAAATGGAACGCAGTATAAGCATTCACTTGCGTAAATTTGCATTATAAATCTATTCCTTTCTGCTGTTCTAAAGTACGTTTTTCAAGTTCAGAGTTATCGGGAATGCATCAATACATCACGATGTGCGATTAATGAATAATATATAGATAATGCTCTTTTTTCTATAGATGATTCCTGCATATTGACACAGGACACCAGTATCGCCAGCGTGGCTAAGTTCTTGGTTGCAGTAGAAAAGCAGCATATCATGGAAAGATCCCAAAATAAAAATAATTAGAATTCTTAAGACCTTCTTAAGAAGCGGACCTTCAATACCTAGCACAGTTTAAATCGAGCCCAGAAGGAAAAACCAACACATGCCTCTTCCGAAGACTATCTGAACGAAGAGTATGCTGTACTCTGGCAGACAGGTGGATCCTTTAAACCTGCATGTGGATCAAGCACCCGGAGGGGGAGGGAGCGAGGGAACAAAGCCAAGCTCTCACCAGTGTTGTCTGCTTGCTGTTATGTGTTGACAGCTCGCTCTTATTTGAGCAGAACCAAACTGATCCATGCTGTCAAGTATGTCTCCCATCCCCAAACATCACTTTCTCTTCTTTATCCTCCTCCTTACATGCTAACTGGTGATAAATCTGGCCATGCCGAAAAGAGAGAACAAAGGGGAAGAACATTTCTTCTTCCTTCCACCATTGCTTAAAAATAATAATAATAATAATTTAACCCAAATCAGTCCAGGAGATATTAACTGTTAATTTTGGCACAATTCTCTCACACACAAGCACGCTGCAGGAATGTGTCGGCTAATAACATCAAAAGTGGCTGCATCTTTTAAAGTGTTCATATATGGCCTCAGCATTCAGATTCTTAAAAGGACATACATATAAAATTAATATTTCATACAAAACCTATAATTTTAAAGAGTTTGAAATTAATTACTCAAGCCATAAAAATAGATGAAGTATAATAAAAATCTTAT